AGTGAGTGAAAAACTGCTGTTCATAAGGTCACATAGATGATATCCCTGAACAGCATGTCCTATTACTGCTTTGCTTCCTCCTTTCAAAGACAGCACAGGGCTGGAAACGCCACTGGTCCAAAGAAGTAGGGTATTTCTTCTCAAAGGTCCTTAGATTCCTTTTCAGTAATTCTCCAAGGCAAGTCTGAAGTCCTTAAACCAAGCAATATCAATTTGCCAAAAATATCAGAGGATGGATTTCTGTATGGGTAAAAATCCTGCCATGGGGTTGCTCCCTGCCAAGGGAGCATCCTTAAGGGAGCATCCCTACTTCTGAACAAGGAGGAGCAAATGCAGCCATTCATGTCGCAAGATTGTACCAAGGGGAAGAGGAAAATCTTGAAGCACAGAAGACTGAAAATATAGCTAAAAAGCAAATAAAATGATATTACCATGACAAAGCTTGAAAACACCTTATTGGCATCATTCAGTGATTCAACAGTATTTAGACAGGAAGTACACCCTGAGCAACTTCTGAGCAAAACTGTGAATTGGAGAAATGCAAACACATTACTGAAAGCCACAAGTAGTCACAGAAACAGCTTCCTGGCTGTGTAAAAGTTACCAAGGTCTATTCCGAGGTCCATGGACATTAAACCATTGAGCAATTCAGTGAAACCCACACAGAGTCAGAGAATGGGTGTGAATCCCAGCAGTGCTGGAGGTCCTTCCTCTGGAGGTGTGGGCACTGTGCTGCCCGTCACCCCTGCATTCAGTGTTGCCTGCCCAGTGCCTGTCAGTGCTTCCCCCAGCACCCCTGCTGCTCTCCTTGCCTCAGGTGGACAGTGTCACGTCCAGTGGGCATGTGGCATCCTAGGGCTTGCCATACACACCAACAGTGCAAGAAGGGAAGAAACACTAGTCTCCGTGTGCAGTATGTATAGATGCAGGCGTTAGAAGTCAGACATCATTCAGTCTATCCATGTGATACTCTTGAGTTTTCCCATTGAAGATTCCCCCTTCCCTTTCTCCTGTTGACCCAAAGAGCAGTCAGAGTTCGGCTCTGGGCAACCCATGTCTAACTGGAGTCTTTTGAGTATATACACGTGGAGTATGTGCTTAGAAACCACTGCCACTTAGAAAATGATTGAATTTTATAATTACTCAGGCATACAAATCAGAACTGGGAGGAAGTGTGTTACACTCATCATATTCTTAGCAAATCATTAACCAGGTGGTGAGACAGTGCTGGTGCTGTAAAGCAAGCTACACAGGACTGCTGTGCTCTCTCGTGGTGCCTGGTCCTTGCTGTCTGACAGCAGGGAACCCATTGCAGCAAAATTGCTAAAATCACAAGTAATCAGTACACTGAATTTCAGTGTCTTCAGGCAAAAAGTCACTAATTTGATGCGTTTTCCTGATGATCACAGAGGATAAATGCAGTAATATTGCAGGTGCCTGTGTGAGGGGGTCACTGAGAGAGGTGGTAGGGCTCTCTGAAATGTGGGATATTTCTGGGGTGAGAGCACCACGGAGAGGGGGGAGGCAGGGAAAGTGTCGGGCTGCTCACTTAACATCATAGATTCCCTGGTCATGGTGGGATTCACCCTGTTTCCTGAAGCTGTCCCTACCCAGTGCTGGGTCCCTAGCCTGGCAGGTCACTGGCCCATGTTCCCTTCTAGAAACAACGGCAGGAGCAAGGTTTCTCTGAAGCTTTTCTGGGGCATGGCGAAGAGCATAACATGGTGTTCCCTTTTTTAACTGGAGAGGGCTACATTTACAGACCTAGAGGTCACTGTATAAAACTCCCACCATCTGCCACGTTTAAAAGTGCATGTGGAAAACCAGCAGTGTGATGTTTAGCATAAATTTAACACAGGATGCCACATGTGCCTTGGGTGCTACCACACACTTAGTATTATATGGGTCCTACAAGTGGACAAGCACCAAAGAAACCATGATCTGTCCTTCCTGTGCTTGTGAGTCAGACACAGGAAAGCTTTATGCAACATGTTCAGCTCCACAGTCTTCAGAGGCATTGCAAGGAAAGAGTTGTAGGGTTCAGTTCTGGAGATTCAAGAATTTATTAGTCCAGAGATCTTAACGGTAGAACACCATTAGTACACCTTAGCACCTTCTATCTTCTCACATGGAAAAAGGTGAAAGGTAATGGGTATAAATTACTCCTGGGGAGGTTCTGATTGGACACAAGAGGACAATTTTTCACAATAAGAACAATCAGCCATTCTTCCTAGGGAAGTGGTGGATTCCCACCCCTGCACAGTTTTAAGATTCAGCTGAACAGGATGTGACACATCCCATCTAGGTCATGCTTTGCCAAGAAAGGTTGGATCCTTGAGGTCCCTTCCAGCCTGGTGTTCCATGATTCCATGACTGTCTGGGTGCCACAGCGTTCTCTAAAAAGCTCTCCCAGAGAGAAAGCTGATTGTAGGGGCAATACGTAGGGGCAATACTGCAGATGCACGTAGTGCCATAATAATTAATAATTCCTTGCCATAGTATTGTTCCAAAGTGCAACTAAACCTTTCTTCTTGCAGTTAATGTGTCATGATTAAATTAATTAAAGCTAGACATAACCCCTTATTCCTATTGCTGATCCGATCTATCTTCTTAAAAGAGTTTTTTATAACAGCCATTACACTATAATTGGTATTTTGTGTGTTCTTAGATTTATTTTTCCCTGTATTTATTTTATTTTATTTGGACTCTGTAAGTTTTGCCATTTTGGCCTTGGTGCGCTCACTGCTGTGACTCACGTATTCCATAGCTACTGCCAGATCTCTGAAACCAGCACTGTAATTATCACATTGGGATCTGTCATTGTAGCCCTGACTTAATAAATAGCAAGAAGAGTGATTAGAATCGCTGATTGATCCGTTCCACAGTTTTGAACACTCACATCTGAGATGAACAGAGGGATTGTGGATATTAAGGGTTTGAAATGTCAGCATTCCAGATTAAGTTAGTATTAATTAGTCATTCCAGGTACATTAGCTACTATATATAGTAAGCATTTCTATATTTGATAATCTGGTGATGATCAGCTATAACCATGACTCAGATTCAGCTCCACCCTTCCTCTGTGCCTAGTTCACTGGAGCTCTGAAGATCACAGGAGGTGACCCGGTTCCCTTTCAGGTGAAACTCTTGGTGCCTTTCAGGAGTGCAACTCAGGCATTGCAATCCCAGGTGGAGATTCAGTCCACAGGACCAGGTCCAAAGCAGGAAAAACACTGAAATTCACTGAGTGTGGATGCTCAGCACCAACTATCTCACTCCACACCCAGAGGTCTGACAGGAATACGTTCGGATGGGGTCTGAGAGAACAGAAGCATCAGTCCCTTGGAAGGGATGCTACTGCTGGTGGTTCTTCACTCACAGCTTCCTCCATGCTCTCCCTGAAAAGTCAGGGCAAGCCAGAAGCCTTCAGGGTGGACCAAGAGAGCCAGTGGGAGGTTAACTGGGGCACACAAGGTGAAGACAGCTCTTTAAATTGTTTTGGTCCAAAGGCAGTGCTGTGTTATCCAGAAGGACCAGCCCTGGTCCAGCAGCAGCTCCACAGGACAGACTGGCAGTTATGTCTGTTCCACATTCTCGTGGGAAAAGCATGGTGATAGAGCATGCTGTGCATGACCACCACATGGCTCTGTGGCAGCCTGTGACAGCCCTGGGGAATGGGCCTACCACACTGGGTTTTTTCTTTAAAAATCATATGTTTTAGAAGAAAATTTTGTTATCCGGGAAAGGAGTGGAAGGAGATGAGTGAGGGCATGAAAAATTACTAGATAACTCCAAATTTTTATGATACCATCTATGCATCAATTGATGCTGTGAACACAGATGGCTTTTACCCCTAAAGACTGTATGATCAACATGGATATTTTATATTTCTTCAAAACCTGTTTGGTTTAGATTTGTTGGGTCCATAGCTCGACATAAAGAACAAACTAAGGAAATGTGCTTGATGTATTCAGCTATGCTTTCATTTCTTTAAAACAATATTAAAGACTCATTTAATTTGTGCAATTTTGTTTCCATTCCTGAATAAGGAAAAGGTTCTGAGAGTTTAAAAGTTCTGACAACTGGTATCGAAGCGAGTATCATTCTCTAGACTGCTCTGGATTAACCTTAAATTGCATGATGCCAACTCAAAAGCATTCATTCAAAATCTAGCGACAGGCATCTTGTCTGTGCTCTATTCAAAATGTTGTTTTCTGTTCTTGCCGACAGGTTATTCTAGATAAGGAATTCCCTTCCAGGGAGATCTGAATACCGCACAGATGCAGAGTCATTCTGCAATGTGATATTTCACCCTTAGAGAACTGCTAAAAGTCATCCCCTCAGCAGACGTAATTTGGGGCACTCAGTAAGCTTACTCCTTTCCAGAGCATTTGGTGCATGAAAGATGCACAGAACCCAGTTCTCACCCTACTAGTGTTGCAGTTCACTGCCTTCATCATCAAGGAAGATGAGCTACTAGGCTGGAGATTCAGCTTTTCTGAGCCACCCATGGGCAAAATGTAGTGACTGTACCTCAACACTGAACTCTGAGGTGTGGCCACAAAAACCAGTATAGTCAGGGGAAAAATAACACAGTCGTGCCCAAAGTTATTAAGGATTAGGGCCCCACCATGCCAGGTACCTGCTTTCTCTCCCTGAACGTAGCATTTCACTTCTTTTCATCTCCGGGACTGGGGTAACAGTACTCAGTAACATTTCCAAAGTGTTTTCAGGCTTAAAGACCAAGTACCCTATTTAAGAATGATTTGTTTTTATCTCTTTCACCACAAACCCACGCACATGAGGGATACCATGTGCTCATAGCTTTAAGGCTCCAGGTGATTCTTGCTTTTTAATCACAGGTTGCTCAGCAGCCTCTGTTCAGAGGTGTGAGAAATCCTTACTGTACTTTTCATGTAACAATCATGGCCAGCATTCAAAGTATTTTCTCAACCTGATAAAATCCTTAGGGATTTCCCACTGAGGCTCAAAACCAGTCATATATTTTATTTCTTTTATTACAAGGCATGTAAGTAAAAACTTGCATAGTCTGAAAAAAGATAATAGATAGAAAACAGTAATAAAATTAACATCATTCTTTTAAGAAACTTGGTAATAAATACATTTTCCCTCGACATTAAAATGCTTGTTATTTTGCACAACAATAAATACAGCATAACTCTGGCATAGAGAAAGGCCAAGGCTGGATAAAAGTTCATGTGGTTTCTTAAAAAAGCTCAGAAATGGTGGTTTATAAATGTTTGGCATCCTGCACTTGATGCACTTTGATACAACTTGCACTTTCATTTTAAGTTTATTATGATTTTTAAACAGTCCCATAATAGGAAAATAGGAGAGGAAAATTTGTTTGATTATAGGGGTTTTCCTTTAAATATTTTCAAAGTAAGAGATGTGTAAATTCATTGAAACCAATCCTTGACATTAAAAAAAACATTACAAAATAGTGTCTTGGTGGCTATTCTACAACAATGCAGGTTTTTCGGCAGTGGGTGCTCGGGCCTGGCCAGCCAACTGGCACAGGACCAATCCCCAGCCAATCCCTCAGTTCTTTACACAGTTTTAAGAAAGTAATAATAATAACAAGAAAAAAGAGGAAAAAGTGTAGTATTCACTTCCCAAGTCATTACTGTTTGAAATTCTTACACTAATATCCAAAGGTGACAGGAGAAAGAGCAGGTATATTCCAGAACACTTCCCACCATAACTTCAGGTCATTCTGGTCTATATTTTTCTTTTAAAACTACTGACAAAAGAAAGGGAAGACAGATATTTCCATGCACTGTGCTGTTCTTATGCCAGCACGTATAACCACAATCACAACTGTGAACCTGTCACTTTGATAGCCCAATCTAATATAGATTGATTGATCGTCCCACGACATAGGTAGATAATGTCCACAAAACGCCACAAGCTCTGGCAGAGTCCAGCGTTCTTAAAGAACTGATAGGTCATGGCAAGACTTAGACTTGAGTTTGAAGGCCATGTTCTTGTTGTTCTTAGCAACTATTTTGCCCCAGAACCTCCTGGCTTTCTTGGGGATGCTTTCCCTCCGTTTCTGGTATGCCAGCCGCTTCTCGTTTTTCTCCTTGCTGTCCCTGCGGAGCCGCACTTGCCGCACGATGCCTTCAAACAGCTCTTTCACGTTGTGCTGCACGGCTGCTGAGGTCTCGATGAACTTGCAGTCAAACACAACGGCACAGGCTCGTCCCTCTGCAAAATTGCAAAGTGGGTATGTCAGGAGGCGTCATGAGCAGGGAGGGCAAAGCAGCTGTGGGTTGAAACGTGTGGGGAGCCATTGTCACAGGGGGGAATTCCTCAAGCCAAATATAGGCACGGATAAGCCTTTAATCGCCTGATGCTGCCTGTTAACCCATGATTCATCTGCTCTGTGGCACACTCGCTTCCCAGCGAGGGGGGGCAAATCCCCTCCTGGAAAAGCCCGGTATCTTCCCTTGGCTGTGAAGGCAGCTGGGGCTGACTGACTTGCACTGAGACACAGAGGCTCAGAGGTCAGCCATAGCTCAAAACCACCTGGTCATCTTATGTCCAGGATCTCTCAAGTTGCATTAAAGTGTGATGACAACACCCTGCATGCACACAGCACAGCAAAGGAGGCATGGCCAATCCTCCTCTATGGGTCATGGGTGTAAACCAAGACCCATAGACCAGACCCCTGAAGGTCCTGGGACAGCAGCAGCTTTGGTGTGAATAGACACATGTACAAAACCCTTAAATGAAGGCAGAACTGTATCTATGGCTTTAGAGGTACATCTGAAATCATAATTCTTACCCTTAATTACATGAGCTAAAGCTAAACCTGACATCTATCTTTCACACACAAACCAATTTATTCTGTCTTCTGGCTTGCTGTAAACTCATCACCAGGGTGACTAAAGTGACATGAAAGTACTTTCCATCTTTCAAGAGATTTTTCAAGTGGGGCAGAGAGGAATGAGAAGGGAAATAGTCATCCCTGGGCTCCCAATGGACTTCCCAGTTCAAACTCTTCACCTGGGTCAACTGTGAATGGAGCCAGAGGAACTGTGCACACCCTCAGTGGGAAAACAAATATAATGTAGCTCAACTGCTAAATAGAAGAAGGGAATAGCTGCAGAGAGAAGATAATGTTGAGCAGAAGACCCCATGTTTTTGATAGGCAAAGGTGAAATAATCTAATGAACTGCTCTGTGTTATGTTGTGTCACCTAAGCCTCAGGGAGACTCTCCAAGAAGAAGTTTTACTGACTGCAGGCCTCAAGAGCCAGCAGTAGCTTTTCCAGCAGTCTCTCCATTCCTATTTATGGGCTTAGTGGGTAGTCATTTGTGTGCAGCAAAGAGAGGGCTGGGTTAGCATCCCAAAGCAAGGCAGCAAGATCTCTCCTGAAAGGCTGCATGGTCCCTTCCCAGACTAAAGAAAACAAAGGGGGAGAGGGAATTTTAATTCATCAGGGAGGACAGAAGACTGGTTATAAAAAAAAAGATATAATCTTTGGCAGCGGAATAAAGGGGCTAAACTTGTTATACATAAACATGTATTGGAAATAGAAAATGTTTCCAGCTACCACAGAAATCACATTCTGCAGTGCTCTTACACTGGGAGCTGGAAGGGAAGAAACTCAAGCTGCTTTTATGATGGTTCTTAATAAATTTAGGAAAGGGATTATCTGACATGTAACAGCATTACCAAGGGAGGCTTAAGAACCTGGTAAACCCTTCCCAGTCCTCTGCCTTCTGTTTCAGTCCTCTGCTGGTTTATTGCTCTTTTATTGCCCAGTCCTGATCACAGCATATTCCTTCGGCCAGAGCTCTGCAGTTTGTTCAAAAGCTACGGGATGACTTTTAATGTTGATGTCAGTTTTACATTCATCATTTTCCTTACCTGCCACGGAAACTTCGCGGCACCTGACAAGGTCACTTTTGTTGCCAACCAGAATAATGGGGATATCTTCCTTCTGTCGTGCCCTGCGGAGCTGTATTCTGAGTTCTGAGGCCTTCTCAAAGCTTGCTCGATCTGTGATGGAGTAGACGATCAAGTATGCGTCTCCCACTTGCATGCAGTGGTCTCGAATCCATTCTCCCTCACGCTGTTCAAGTTAAATGGTCAGATATTGTTATGTCCAGAGCAGATTTTACTTAGTAAGTATAACATTAGAGAATCCAAATACATTCCTGCTGTAACTGTAATGGGTATGGTTTGAATCACAGTTATACTGAAAGTAATTCCAATGCAGTGATGGTATGAATACTTCACCACAAAGGAGGGCAAAACTTGCCCCACATAATTCATTGTGCTGACTTTAGACTGGAATGAACATGGTCTGGAAAATGGCTTGAATGTTTTGATTTATCATTAAAAAAATAAAGAAGGTTTGTGCTTTTCAGGCTCACTCTAGAGAGCTGATAGGCGTGCTTGCCTTGGAGCAGGGGTGGGGTTAATCCTATATTTTCCCTGATGTTGACATATGGAAAACACCTACTTGCTTTCCCAAAAGATACCTACTTTTCACATTAACAGTCATTCATATACATTTCTGTTTTGACATTTATCTAGAACAAATTAAAGTACCTTATTATCCCACATGTCGAGCAGTATAATGGTTGCACTTTCTCCATCCACCATCAGTGTTCTTTCGTATGTGTCTTCTGGAAGGAAAAGCAGAAGGGCTGGTAATGTATTATTGCCTGGCATCACATACATTACAAAAACCATGTAGTTGAACATGTGTAATTTGTTCACAGTTCAAGTTATTGAGCCAATTTTATGCTCGCCCCCATTCAGCTCTTTCCTCATTTCCATCAGCACTGAACCTGCACTCAGTTTGTTACTGGCTGTCTGACTTTCCATGATATATGAAGAAGGCTGAAAGATCAGGAAATGGAATGTTCATTGTTTTGGCTGATATTCTCTTTATCTTATGTGAGAGAGAGAAAATAGAACCAGTGGAAGAAATAACCAAAGGCTGAACATTTGCCCCATGGGAGCAGCAGAGTCCAGTGAGGCTGAGTAATGGAAAATATTTGCTTTCGCTTTAACGGGGACAGTTTACGGGTGAACAGTCACTGGTGCTGAGAGCAATACAGCTAACAGCCTACCAAGTGATGAGGACAGGGGAGTTTCAGACAAGCTTTTGAATTTTAGAGAAACTGAGACTTCTTCATCCTAGTTCTCTCCCATTTCAGTTTCCCACATTACCTTTGATGTCAAACACCCCACAAGAACCAACAAACCACAGAAGTTTGGTTATTGCATCCTGAAGCCACAACCTAGGTTATAAGCACATGTGGCAAAGTTGTGCTTAGATGTGAGTGGGTTGTTCCCACTCATAATTTTGATCAGTCCTTGCTGTGAAATCTCAGTCTAGGCTCTGCTTCAAAACTTATCTTCCTTCTTTTCCCCAAACATGGGAACATTTAGATGAGTGATAAGGGATTTGGACCCATCTCTAATCTTGCAGTGCTGGTCAGTGAGCATACCACCCCTCTCACTGCTTAAGGGGTCTTGTAAATACACTTGTAAATAGGACTGTGTCTTAACCCTTGACTCATAAAACTGCTGGGCATTAATGGAGTGAACTGTCCCCTAAATTTTAATCAGAACCTTTCCTCAAAGCCAGGAATCTACATTCATACAAAAGAATGAGCCAAAAATATTACATATTTAAAATAAAATAAAAAGGACCCCAGGCTTGACGCAGCTTAAAATGGCAAGATTAAAAAGACAGAGCTAATCAATAGGAGCAGTTTCCCTTGCAGGCCCAATAGCATGACATTTTTGTTTGCAAGTGAGCTTAACCTCACAGTCAGTAGCAAAGCCTGTCCATAAACCAGCTGTATGCTGTGAACTGGCTACCCTGAAACCATTCTCTCTTATGATTAAATTCCAGTTTGCAAGCTAAAGTTTGGAGAATATTTTCTTCAACTGGATGCACATCAGTGTGGGAACAAGCTCCATATACACCAGAGGACAACATCAGAAGAGACTTTCTCCACTCTATTACACATAGAGAGGCTACAAATACATAATCACACTCCCTGAATATATTATGCCCAAAAGGTCATAGCGCTGATCTGCATTCTGGTGAATCCTATGGACATTCTATAGGATATGAAACACACTGAAAGTGAGCTATTAGTTCACCTCATGCTTATTTTGAAGCTGACACTGAAAAAGGGGAGCTATAACAACAGCAAGTTTTCCAATGCCTTAGCAGAACTGGCCTTGAAAACCTGTCACTGCTACACTCCAAGCAATATTGCTAGGAGTGCAAATGAAAGAGGAAACCATATGGCTTCTCAAGAAGAAAACTGTCTGACAGGGCTGTGCAACACAAATCAGCTGCACTTTTCTGACTGCTTGCCCACAGGTCCTACTCTAATTCACTCATATAGCACTAGGAAAACTCTTGTTGGAGATACTGCAGGCTGAGGAGCTGATGGGATTATTGGGAAAGTGGGTGGTAGAAGCTGAAGACAAAGCACACCTGAATAACTGATTCAGAGTGACTGCACTGTGGGGAACTTCAAATCCCTGTAAGACACAGAGATCTGTGTCCCAGTCTACGCCAGCAGGCAAGGAAAATGTAGGTCTGACCTTCCTGTTGCTGGGCTGTATTAAATCCTGGGCAGAAGACACAAAATTCTGTCCTGCTTGTGCTCCACTGAAGATAGGAAGAGAAGCCCAAGAACTCTGGGCTAGCACTGGCACCATCACACCAAGGGGTCACAGGCAGGAGAGGGAAAGGATAAGGGAGGGACGAGGAAAGCCCTGCACACTGATGAGAAAAAACAGTCAGCAAACTGCACTTCCTCCAAAGGTGACAACATCTGCATCCTTAGAACTACAGCAGACTTCTGCTGCAGTCTAACCCTTCCACATCAATGTTTGCATACAGTATAGGTCATGACTTAGTGCCACAGCTTCACCTTCTGCACGATCAGATCTTTGGGATTAAAGAACACTTTGCAATCCTAAACAAAGCAGAGGAGGATAGTAAGGGGGAACTATCAAAGAAAACCCTATAGCTTGTGCCTTTTCCCCATCTGGCCAATAGCAATTTTCCTACACTGCTAAGGGACCTTTATCTGTTTTCCTCTGGGGGAACTCATGCTGTGCAAGTAACATGAAATGAGGAGGAAACATATTTTACTCAAACTCCATATAGGCTACACTGAGGCAATGTGTTTATACAGAAAGGCTGACATGACTTCTCATGGCAAATGTCTGGGAGGTGACCGAAGGACTCAGCACTGGCTTTTCTATTTTGCTATATGTATTATTTCTAAACAGTTAATTCTTGTGGACCATCAGAACTTTTGGTTGCTCTCTCTCCCCCATAGAAAGCTGAAGTCAGCCCCATGAAGCCAGTGGTGACACAAATGTGGGGCCAGCATGAAAGCTGGACCAGACTTTTTTGTAGCATCTTCACAGGCAGGAATGAGGCAGCTTCCAGCAGATATTTTTGAATTAAAAAGCATGTGAATCCAAATTATTCTAGAAAGAGATTTTCAGTCACTGTTGGTATCTTACTCATCTTATTTTGCTTTCTTATTTTCCTAAGAGAGATGCACGAGTTGAATCAGTTTTGAAGATCAGATCCAACTGTTTGTTACCTCAGTTTTTCATTAAACAGCCTCTCCATTTTTCTGTGCCAAGTACTGCTGGCAGAGCTGATTACAAGCAAACACCAGCATCCCAGGACATAACACTTACCTCCGAGCACCTCACAGTCACTGTCGATGCTGTCATGCACCCCTGCAAAGATGTTGGCTAGCGAGGACTTGCCTACGCCATGCTCCCCGATCAGCACCACCCGGTAGCAATTGCTGCCTGACTCAGAGGAGATGACAGAATCGGATGACTCTGAGGACCAGCTCCTTCTGTAATATTCATCAGGACTGATGGTGTATCGCTTCTGCGGGTTGTACTCATTGGAGTCTTTCTGGACCAGCAGATTCTTTCCATCAGCAGGGATGCTCCATCGCTGCTGCTGCTGCTGCAGGCTGCTGTTGTGGGTGCGACGCATGGTAACGTTGTTGAGGGTCATTTTCTACCCCTTAGCGAGAAACAGAATCACAAGTCTTAACCCACAAAACATTTAGAAATTCATTAACACTCTGTTATTAATTTCAAGGCAGCACGTGCTTTGAAGCGCTTCTCTGTAGCTCTCTAGCATACAGCAAAAGGAAAATTAAACTTTCTGTACTCTTTCATAGTTACTGCTACACAAAGTAGTTCTCATTAGTGAGTTGGAGGCTATTTCCTAGGGATAATACCACCCTCCCAACCCTAAATACTATCTTTATTTAGCCTTCACAAGCTCACCACTGTGCTAAGTGCATCCTAGGCGTGAAGAAAGTGAGGCAAGACTGTGCCCCAAAAAGAGAAGGAAGGAGCAGCATTCACCAGAGCTGTCTTACATGGGAACTGCATCCCTGCCGAGGGGTAGCCTATGGTGCAGGCAACACCTATCGGTACTGCTCCCCACCCTTTGTGCTTAACAGGGGCAAACAGAGGCACCGGTCCCCATTGCCTCCAACACCAGTGCAGCTGGGTGTAGAGTATCTTTCATATTGTCTCAGTTAAGAGCTGAAAGTTTTGGGAAATCACTTAGGCATCACCCACTATGCATGTAGACAACCCTTATATGAGAAAAGAGACATGCAAGTAAGCCTTGCTGTGATTCTATGATTCTGTGATCAGGTGGACTTGGGTATGATCTACTGGCTGGGTATACAAAAAAATGACTCCGCTCCAGACAGTGGCTTTTTGTCTGGTAAGAGGGAGGACACAGTGAAGTCCCACAGCTTTCCTGAGGAAGAACAGGTTCTAGCTGCTACAGGAGAAAATACGGTGCTGGGAGAAAAAGCCCATAAATTTGCAAACTTTAAATCAGCAGCTTCATCCACTGCACAGTCAGCTGGATAGGTTCACTCTTCTAAGCGTGGCTCTTAACTGCGTTTTACTCAGCACACTCTATTTTGCCTTGCTTGGAGGCAGAGGACAGTGATGTCATTCTCACAGGCCAGCAGCTACCATTTTTAGGAAAGTGACTTTCATGCATTCCAGTTCTCAAAGTGAACTTTTTATTATTTAGACTTTTTGCTTTTTGACATATATTTTATGATTTTTGTCTATCTTCTCCATATTAGTAAATAGGATAATTGTCTATAAAAAGCACCCGACCACTTTAAAGCCTGAATAATAGGTGGTGAACAAAAAAAAAAGCACAGCAAGTCATGAAAACAACACATACAGATTGCTATTTCTCTTCACACAAAACTGTCTGAAAACTTCTGTGCATAGGATAAACATACAGAAAAGCACACCCTGTCTGAACTTACCTACCACACGCACAGTATTTTCTCTATGATGCACAGTACTTGGCAAAATGAGATCATTTGTCTAGTCCTAGTCACAGTAACTTTGTCAGTAAGAAATACATCTCAACTAGGAATCATGCACCAAGCAAAGGCTGCTTCACAAATAAACTGAAGTATTTACTGCAGTTGCATTTTAAAATGCATTTCTTCCTTCCAGTTTCCCCACTGAAAAGACCTGATGAGAAAAAACTGGCTCTAATTCAAACAACAGCGTAACTCACAACCTGCAATAAACAGTCACAAACATGAGCATTTCACAATTTCATCCCTAAAAAATTATCATCCTTCATTAAACAAAGCCAAACAAGTACCTGTCGCACCCTGCATTTGAAGTTCGAACTGGTTTTGATACCCCGTACTGCCTTTAGCTGTTAGGGTCTCTAGCACTAACAGTAAAAGACTGCTTGAACCAACTCTGCCTTACTTGTGCCAGGCTTCTTCAGGCAGCCAGGTCCTTTGCTCACACTGCCCTTCTTTCTCAGTGAGCTGTGATGCTCTGAGCTGCTCTGCCGAAGTAAATCCTCTCCTGCTTTGGAGCTGGCTCTTTAATTCTTTCTCGGCAAACCTGGTTTATATTAAGCCCATCTGATCAGAGACAGGGCTTTTCCGTGACGTGGTTGGCCTTTCCATACAACAGCCAGCCCCCAGCTGGGAGGAAGCAGACATGCAGAAGAGCAAAAACTTGCAAACAATCTCAAAAGACTCACTCAAAATCATATGATTGTCTTTATATTGCCAGTAAAATAAACACATTTGGTTCTTGCGTGATGAAAACAGGAAAGTGGAAAAACCCAAAATAATACGTGTTATTTTGCCTCACTCAGTTTTACATTTAAGTGCTACCAGAAATAATGGTGATTTAAAAATTACCTAAGTTTCATCAATGCATAAAATCCTGTAAATATATTATGTTCTCTGTCTGCAAAATGCACTTAACCCTCTGCCTGACAAAACATCCCTTTGGAATAAAATATCTGAATGTTCTTTTGGAATTATCTTAAAAGTAGGAATATTATTCTGTTGTTTGGGATTTGGTTTTGTTGGGTTTTGTTTAAAAGCTCTAATATATACAATCCTATTTTCCTCTGTCGGCCTCCAAGTGACTTAATCCTATTTCCTGATCTGCTTCCACTTCTGCTGGAACCCTCTACTAGCAAGGGCTTGAAAAAACTTCCAGCTACAAATTCAGTGTTACTTAGCTGAATGGTGACAAAGACGCATCAAAACCCACAAAGCCTGCACAAAGCTGGAGTAGCTCACTGCTGATGCTGTCCACAGGAAAGATGACTATATTGTGTTCATGCTACAAACCCACAAACCCAGGGGCTGCTCCTTAGGTTCTTATATTCTCATAGCTCATTGTCGGGATAAATATTGTCAGAGGGGAAAAAATACAAACCTGTAACATGTGCCACCAGATGACACTTCTAACAACATACACGAAGTACTCCCTGATCAACAAATGAAGAGTAATAAACTTCCACAGCTCTTCTTGGGAAGGGTACTACAACTTACATGAAAGTATATGGAAACCCTATAGTTGTCTCTCCATTATCCAGTCTCTAGATTAAATATGACGAGCTCAAAGCCAAGCTCCTACAGCTTTCCTTTATGTTTACAATCTCCTAGTTACTCTGTCAGCCCCTAAATCTGATAGGTGACTAATTCTTATCCAGCATGTAGGAAGTCTGAGCAGGGGAAAGAATATTTTTTTCATGAGCCCATTCTTCTCACCCTTCTTGCTACAGGCAAGCAAGCCATTAACTGACAATGTACCTTTATTGAAGGGAGCAATGATATGCACAAAAGAATATATCTTGCTATGATTGCAGCTTAGCACTTATTTCACATTCTTCTGCTGTAAAATTGATTAGTTTTCCTCTGAAAAAGCAGACCTTTACTAAATTCTTCAACTGAAACCTGCTTCCTTTGTATCCCCTTTGGCTTTATGGCATTCCTTGGTCTTTCATGAAGATTTTCAGGGTCCTCCCAAGCCCATTCTCAAGTTTGAAGAGCCAGGAGCTTTTCCAAAAGTAACATGCACCCATTGGTGTACATGGAAATTACTCACATCTATCAAGGGAAGAAGTGAGCAAAAATATGCTCTCATTTTCCTTCAGCTGTGTTTCAGTGATTGGCAGCAGAGGAACTGGCCCCAAGCCTGCATCTTCACCTCTTCTGTCCCTTACACATGAGGGTCTGAGTCTCTGCTGCTGAGTGATAACCCCAAAAAGCACAAAGTGTCACGTCCCTCTATGTAGGATGCACGGAGTGGCTTTTAATACTTACTGCACAAAATGCAATAACATCTCTGTCAGGAAAGGTTTATGGAATGGCCAGTGGTTTGCAAAAAGATGCTTGCCATCGGCATACTGAACTGAAGTTGCTCATTCTCTTGAAACATGTTGGAAATGATGACGAGGAGGGGGTGGTTGGAGTATGGTGCTCTGCACCTTGGGTTCACTTAGCTCTCTTTAAGTTGTCTGTAATTTGTCACTGCAAGTAAAAGAGCAAAACCTGTCCACCCCGAGACTGGAGAGATTTATGGCCAGACCCATCTCAGCAGAACTGCAGGCTCTAAAGTCTCACCCAAATGTTTAACATATATCATAGCAGAAAGTGCAGACAGCAGAAATAAACCAAAGTCAGAAAAGCCTTTATGTTTAGTTATGGTTAGTGTTACATTAGGAATTGCTGGGCATCATCTTCCATAACCTCTTCATAAAATTCAAGGCAGACAAAGAAAACACAGCTCTCAAATGACCACACAATATGTATCTCTCCTGTAAAGCCATCCAGGGCTGTCCCAACCATGGCATGAAGTTCTTGAAAGTGGCAAATTTGCAGGTATGTTTTCCTTTGTACTGCCTCTTCTGAGCTTATTCTGTTTTAGAAATTGGACAATTAACTCTCCAGATCTGTGCTGCTGTCTGCCTACACATGATGGAAAGCTCTTGTTCCTCAGGCAATGCCACCAGCACTCATGAATTTCAATCAGTAGTGAAATTAGAAATGTAGTAGCAATTAAATTATTAGTGAAAATAGGCATGTGGGGAAAACTTTTCCCCTCTCTTTTTTCAAGTAGGAGAGAGATGCAGCATTTTCAGCCTCCTGGTACTTACTTGCAAGGGACAATAGCAGGTTGGTTAATGAAATATATGAAGTGAACCCTTCTCAATTGTCCTGGGTTCAGCTGTAGCAGTTATTTTTTCCTGCTTCCTAGTAGCTGGTGCAGTGCTGTGTTTTGGCTTCAGCTGAGAACAATGCTGATAACACACTGATGTTTTTAGTTGTTGCTCAGTAGCACTTACCCTGATCAGGACTTTTCACTCTCTCATGCTCTGCCAGTGAGGAGGGGCACAAGGAGCCAGGCAGAAGCAGAGACAGGACACCTGACACAAACTAACCAAAGGGGTTTTATATTATACCTTAGTTACTGAACTGTTCTTATCTCAACATGTGAGATTTACATTCCTTTGATTCTCCTCCCCATCCCACCCAGAGGGGGAGGGAACAAGGGAGGTGAGCGAATGGCTGCATCCGAGTTACTGTCTGGACTTAAACCACACCACCAATAGAGCTGGCTATAGGTTTGGATTTCCAAATGCAATCCCATAGATCAATAGAGGCTGATGTAGTCCTGCACTGTTCTGCCTTCTTGCAGAAGGTCACCTTCTCTGCAGCTGAGGCTGCCTGACACACAGGCACAAGAAGAGACGAACTGTAAAGCCAGGTGCTGTCGTAAAGCAGGTTACCACCTGATGCGGTATTAAAACTCGTGGCAATTGCTTTTCACCCATCTTATCCATTCTCTGTTTCAATAATCATGTCTTAAAGGAATGCTCCTGCAGCTGGGATGAAGTAAACATCTCAGAGTAACAGTTCTGCAATCCTTCTCCAGCCAGTTACAATTAGACCAGGTGATGCCCAGAGAATTAGGCAGAATTTTTCCATTGGATATAAAACAGCAGTGTTTTTTAGCTGGCACTTAATTAACCATTTTGTATCTATGTACATGAAGGCAAAAGTAGTTCCTCAAACCATCTTCTGCAATAAGGGTCGTGCATAGAGAGGACCTGAATCATCTTGGAGGGGGAGGGAAATGCAAGAGGAAAAAATCTCAAAGAAGCAGGAGAAACAAAATTCAGGTTTATTTTAGTAGAGACGGAGTGCAGAGTGTCTGAAAGCACACTTTCTCCCTTTGCATTTAGCAGGAGAGAACTTCTTCGTTTTTCCCCTCAGAGGACCTTAGTAGACTGTGCTCGCAACAGTTAGTTGCCTGTGAAAGCAACGAATAAAATCCACCGCCTTCCTTTCCTCCAGATCATTGCAGCATTTCACATTTGCTCTGCTCTAACATCTGTCAGTGCTGCCTGTGGCAGTTTGTAGCTCCACCAAGAGCATTAGCTACGGACAGAAATGGTTTTGGGTGTAGGCACGATGCCAGGCTGGATAGATACACCAGGAGTACCTGCGATTACTGTACTCCCCAGGGCAGCTACTCCAGTGTCACCATCCATTCCTGCGGCACACAGGGAGACAGGCAGCCCAGTGAGCAAGCGTAGAACAAAACCAAAAATACATGTGTATTAGCTACATTAGGCCCATAGCAATGAGACCATTAGCTTATTTACACCAACTCATGGGCACAGCTTTGCCCTTGCCTTTCCTGCTTCACATGCAGTGACCAGGTAAGAAGTTTCATGCTGAATAAGGAAACTGCCAGGGATAAAATACTCTGAAATATAGAGGCATGAGGTAGGGAAATGGAGGATTATGCGCCTGAGGAGAACTGCTGAGGCTCTTAAGTAGGGGACAGGGCAGAGAAAGACACTAAGAAATTGAGCAATAGTGAAACTGATTTATTTTTAGGGAACAGAATCAGAAGCACCTGAAAGTGCATCCCCCATCTAAAAAACAAGCCAGTTCTCTCTTCAGAGGAGTAGATTTGGTAGACTCTGCTCCCAGCAATTGCCTGCAGGGTACCCTGAATTTGTTCCACCACCACCTTCTCTCCCACACCACAGCAGCTGAGCACTAAAAGCAAACATGATCCTTTGGTGATGGAGCACAAGGACAGGGAAGAAGCACTGGTCTGTACTCCTTGTGCACAGGAGAGCAGTAAAAGCCAGCATTAGAATTCTCAGGGAATTTGATTGCTTTTAATCAGCTACCTCACTAGAGAGCCCCTCATTAGTCTATTACTTGCAGATAATCTGGATTCCCACGTATCGAAAAGAAGGTGTGCTCCATATCCATGCACTATAGAGCCTTGATGACTGTAATGGGTGTCCAAAAGGTGTTTTTCCCATTAACACTTTAAGCCAGCACAGCCGAATACTCAGCAGAGTGAGAAATGAGCAGCCAGAGGAAGTATTACAGCTCAGTTCATAACAAAACACAAGTTACTCTTTAGTCTAGTTAACTGAAAACAAAAATGATTAAAACAACTATCATCTATGGAAAACATCCAACTACGATAAAGAGCAAATGGCAAAAAAGGGTTATTTCAGTAAGAGTTACTTAGAAAAATGACTGCCTCTTTCCCACTTCTGCACTGAATGACGTTAATGAATTCTGCTGATAATTGTCCAGGGAATAGGATTAAGTCGTGTATGACATAAATAAATGTGCTTTTCAAATGGAATCAGTGCAAACTTTAAAAAAAGCATAATATACTAATAATAGTAGGATGTGAGCGAGCCATAAGTGTTCTTCGAATACTGAACTAAAAAAGCCTTCAGACAAATGGCATCAGACCATTCTTTGCAGCTGGGATCTTTGTAGTATGCCACTATCCTCAGCACATCAGGTTCAGGAGCCACAGTCTCCTTTGCAGCTGCAGGATTCACAGCTTTCAATAACTTGGTTTAATAGAACTAAGTCTTCATGGTAATTTAACAATAGGTAACTTCTGCATCAGCAAACCATAGGCTAGAAACTTCACCAGAATTATCTGGGCCCCTGATCTTCAGAACTGTGTAAGGGAAAGCCAAAAAGAAGTCTTTTGCTCCAAATGCAATTTCTTCTTCACTGTGGTCCCCAAGACTCTTACATCAACTGCAGCCAACAACAATTACAAATACTCAGACCTACTCCCACAGTCAGGCACATGGCAGTGCACAAAAAACTGCCAATAGCAGCAAATTTACTTTAAAACTATTTCATGTGGTGGCCAGAGTTTGTCGTTCAAGCCCTTACTGTGTTTATCTACATGACAAGCCTGCCTGGGATGGAAAGGGAGCACTGCTGAGCAATCTAACCCACCTCAGCTCCCAACCCACCCAAACTCCTCCTGGTTCCACATTATTACAAGGTGTTTTGAGCTCATCATCTGGGTGAGGGAATCCCATTGCTGGGGCAGTGGCTGACATGGGGTCCTGGGCAGGTTTTGGGAGCCCTGGGAGAGTGAAGCAGGGCTATGGGTACCTTCACTGCCCCAACACCCACTCAGTGCACTCCCTGGGGAAAGGTGGTGGCACATGGATGAAGTTAGGCCAAAGCAGAGCTGTATGCAGCTGGGCCCGTTTCAGTCAAGGTCATGCCAGGGCTGTTACTCAGATCTGCACCGGGAGAAAGGTGGTGTGTAAAAATGCACAGCCCATGATGGTGGCTGAGCAGCTACGCTCCTCTTCCAAAAGACAATCAGCTGGAGTACGGGCATCACATCCCTCCCCTTCTTTCTCTTCACTGCACAGACACCTAGCAATAACAAAACCACAGCTAAATATGGTCTGCTTGGAGGGAGCTCTCTCCAACAGCTCTCAACATCTCTCTCCTCTCCCCATTTACAGTATCACCCAACCAGTGCCCTTGGTTCAACGCTCGTCTGCCCACTCAGCACACCAGCATCTAGTTCAGTGATGCTTCATGCGACTGCTCAGTGATTCACCACTTTGTTTGGATTTTCTGGCTCCCAGGCTCAAGTTTATCAGCAAAGCACATACTCTCTCCAGCATCAGGCTGTAAGCAGGTTGGAGCTGTACAAAATGCCTTTGAGCAAGATGCTCTGCACAGTCAGGTGAAATTAATGTCTATTTAATTGAACAATGGCACCTCTTTTATTTACACAGCTTTACTCCCATGTCTTTCAGCATGTACTTTCCACCTTTCCAAAATGGGATATTTGGAAATGAACTTATAAGTGAAAATATGTTGTTTATTTTCTTTTGGAGGCTCTAATTCTTCATCTCTGTTGTACTGTGCTTGTGACAGGAGAACTGAGTGCCAGGCCCTGCGGGTAGGATTCATTTTACCTCCTTTAAACTACTTGCCTTGGTTCCCACGGGGAAGTGGACAGGGTTAACCAGGCAGCTCTGGGGTGATTCATCTAACACAGGTTGTGTGAATCATGGAGGTGCCTCCATCCCCACTGAACAGGGAGGGAGTGGGAGATGAACATCTCTGCACTAAAGCTAGCCTTAAACTGCACTCTCTGAAAGCTGGACTGACAGTCAAACAAAGTGAAGAAATCCCCAACAGCCTAAAGGACAATTTTTACCTGTGCCTCTTCAGATGTGCAGTAAAACAAGGTTCAAGATGTAATCACTACATATACAATGCTGAATAAAACTATCCTGCAGTAGTACAGGAGGTGCATAAATGCACAAGCAACTTGGCTTAAAAAAACTGGAGAAACCAATACATGTGCGTGTTCAGTGTGGATGTCAATAGGGCTCTTTTCTCAGTAGATTCTGGGACACTTATGGGGAGGAATTACTTCTGTCACCATTCCCACCGACCAAGCACCAATTGCTGTTTCTTTGCAGCCTCTGACATACGGCAGCATGGTTTGTGGAGGTTTGCGCCCTGCTTCTGCAAGCCAAGTGCATGTTATCTCTGTGCATGACCATAAACACGTTCTGCTTCAGCCAGCCAGCCTCCTGTAAAAGGAAGATCACAGCCAGCACGTTTCAGGGAATACACTCAGTGAAATACCAGCAGTTACAATGCTGTCAGCTACAATCTTACTCCGCACAGCCAGTTCCTTGGCACTGAAGGCTCTTGCGTTCCTGTAGGAGCCAGAAAGGGGTAGCACAGCTACAGCAGACTCTTCTCAAGCCCTCTAGCTGGGACACACGCACTCGTACACGTATGTCTGTGCTTAGGCTGAGGGGTGACCTCCTACAACTGCCACTTGTTTGTCTTTTGTTTTCTCTCTATTGTTTTAATACAATTTATTCATTTTGAAAGTAAACAGTAAACACAGGAGCTGGGCATGATAAAAAAGCCATCATTAATAACTGAAATCAACAGCTTTGATAGCCAGCGGAACCTTTGATATTTTCACTGCATTGTGCTCCAGTGCAAATCATGCATCTGCAAAATTACATTCCTGTGATAATGAGTGGGACAACACCATTCTTTTCAGAAGCAGTAGACTGCAAGGTCTCTGTCACACACATTTTCCCCCTCTTCATGGCAATTGGCACATTATTTAATGCTTTCTGAGCTTTTTCTACACTAAAACCTACCAAAGTTTCACATTAATAAAGGAGGACTTGTTCTCATGAAGCCAAGGACACTGACTGTACTATGGATTCAAAGATGTGAATATCTAAGAAAGGGAATGTCCATCTGTTGCTCAGCACGTTTCTCGGGTGAGTTGCTCCAAAGCTGGGTACCTGACATGCATTGCTCCTGTGAAGTATGAAACTAAACTGGTGGGAAAAAGCTTTGATTTCCAGAGTCTGTGGAAGTAGCTACAGACTTGGTTTTCACAAATCCTCCATGTTGCTGGAAGTTTAATCAACGGCTAAGCTGGCAGATTTAGGATCTGAAAGAGAAATAGCTAATTATAAATCACAGACTCAAGGAACATGGTTCTGGCATAACTCATAAGGTAGATCTGATTTTTTATGCTCTCCAAACCTTGGTTCTAGGTAGGTCCCCATTTGTCCAGAGGAGCAGAACGAGCAAGCCAGCCACACAGCCACTCTCTCCCTTCCACTGCACTGTGTGCTCCCTGCAACCTAGCTCAGATGGATTCTAAACAAGGCTGTCATGCTGTAAAGTAGGACCCAGTGTACCACAAACATGAACTCAGATGATAAAACATATCGTAGTGAGCAAATAGAGACATGAGGGGGAATAATACAGACACATCCCACTGCAGAAGGCAGAGAAAATATTTTGGTCTCCTAGTTACAAGCCCACTCCTGTTTGACTTCTGACCCAAGACCACACTGCCAGCAATTACATCACCACTGCTGGGCAGTATGATGCCTCCAGAAGCTCTTTGCCTCATGAGCAGGGTATTCACAAGGGCAGCTTTGGCTCTTTGAGTCAGTGGAGGGAAATGGGCTCTTTCAGAAAGGATGGCATTGCAGCTTAGGTAGGCTTCAGCACTGAATTGCCCCCTGCACTCTCCCTCACTTGCTGCTTGAGGACAAAATGTTCTTTCACTAGATGATCTTAAGGTCCTTTCTAATCCTAACTATTCTATGATTCTATGATCAGAGGATCACATGAAAAAACTCTGACAGATTACTTGAACATCTTCAAATATCTGCTGTTATGAAAGGCCTCCTTCTCCACCCACACTGGTATATATCAGATATGTATCAGAAGTCACCCTTAGAATAAGTGAAAATCAAGCCTAATTGAAATTTAGAAACATGTTCAAATTACGTAAAGGGAAAACAGCAGTGGAAGTCCACAGGGACTTTCATGATGGTCCACATGGCATCAGACTTCTGGCCCATATACCCACGTGTTGCTGGTTCAGCAAAAGCCTGGATGCTTCTCACACTTCACACAAAGAACAGACCATATCTACTGCTTTTGTGACCCTAGATTCTCCCTGCTCTCTGCCCTTACATTGCAGAAGGCCTTCAACAGCACCTTTGGATTATTTTCTGATTAACCACACTATTAATATATAACATATACAACACCTGGTGTATAGAACTTGTTAACTTGTTCACCTGCTAACTGAATTAGAAAAAAGTGAGGATAGAAAGAGAGGTCAAGAGACAAAAAGAGAGAGTTCCTACTCTCGGAACAGCTTTCCTGGGACCCTGCAGGTACAGCACTGTCTCCTATTTGAAGATGTTACATTAACTGCAGTTTTTTATAACCTCAGGATCCCAGAAAAATTCTCTCTTTGGAAGTCCCTAGGCTCTCAGCTCCCAGTGTCTCAGTCTCATGTTGCTTACAGTAATGTGACTATATTAAGGAGCTAGGTCTCCTCAGCCCAAAACAACTAGGAGAAACCTAAGAGCTCCATCACTTTGTCTTTCCAAAGCATTCCTCAACCATCAGTAGCATAATTATCATGGCTTTTTACCTAGCCTGTAGGCAGGGGAGGCCTTTCTCTAGCTTTCCAAAAGAAAACGGAAGTTTCCCTCTGGGTGTCCTAGCTCTGGCTGGCTCTACCTGAAGTGAGTACCAGCGGCTCTGTTCAGAGTCACATCAAGGAGCCAAATACACAAACTCATGTGCAGTCCTTGTTCAACAGAAAAGAGAACCTGTACATTTGATCAACTTCAGGCCCGAAGTCTGTAGAACTGAGAGAAAGTGAGTATGTGGAGATGAGGACAGCCAGCATTAACATTTCACCTGTGATGAGAGGAGGGTTGAGACGAGATGAAATTACTTATTCTCTAGGCAGGGAGCAGTCAAGCTCTGGAGATGTCAGATAAGAAATGTAACATTCTGTGAAGGACATACACGGCTTGCAAGCAGCTGGTTTTCAGATTATTTTATTTTCCATGTCTAAAGAAAGTACTACACTGGAAAGTACTTTCCACAATGAGGGGGAAAGTTCCTGAATGTTAGAAAAGTGCAATAAAAAAAGTCCTGTAACTGAAAGGGAAAATTCTTAACACACAATGTGTGGGAAGTGAGCTATTTCGTGTATACACATCCTGAATGTACTTGGCAGCACTCTGCTGTTGTCCCCACAGTTCTAATTTCACCTCCAGACCATGCCAGTGATTTCTCAGGGGCAGCAGCATGTAGCGTAGTCCCCTGTTGAAGATGCTGCTCCACCTTCACCAGTTTAGCACCCCATACTAGGAGAAACAGCCACCTGGCCCTGCCTTAGTCCAGAAGCAATGGAAGCAGCAGTCACATATATTTATTCTTTCTAGAAAAACAGAACCCAGTGACAGTGACAAGCAGCCATGACTGAAGACTGGAAGCCACACCAGCTCTCTGCATTGTATAGCTAAGCAAAAGACAGAATAACCCCAAGCCCAAACATGAGAAAGTGAGATATAGAGCCTTGCACAGTCAAATGTAATGCACTGTCTCCAATATTAATTACTAATTTCATTAGAGCTGCACAAATCACCTGGTAGTAACATTTTTGTTTATTTTAATTCTGCGTCACTACTTTAATTATTGCCTTTCCATGAGGCACTGTGGAGTGTATACTTCCTGCAAATAGAGCAGCAAGTTCCCAAAACTCACCTGTTTTAATGCACAAACTGTACTTATTGCATCTGGGGGAAAACTGATTTATCAAACACCAGCATACACGGACAGATTCCTGAGCAGGTTGAACAGAACCTCCTGCTTGCTGTCACTTCGCTGGCTGCAGTAGAGGGAAGGAGCTGCCAAGTTCAAAACCACATCAAAACACTCACAGCTGCCATAGGAGCTGCCTCCTGTAGTGCTCAGGCAAGCCAGGGACTTCAGCCACCATCCCAAACGGAACATGTAGGAGATCCCAGCCAAGCCAGCAAATTTGGGGGTCATCATCACACTGCTCATTGAATTTTCAAGCCCATGTGGCTGTGACAGCAAGCATTAAAAAGCTTAGTCCAAGCTTTTATTTAACACAGCAAGTCTGAAAGATCTTAACGATATAAATAACCACTCTTAATACTCAGTGTTACCCAACATCTGAACTAGGTTATAGTATTTTTCTGTTTAATTGGGGATAGCCCAATATATAAATAGACTTTGGTTATGTTTAGCTGGGTACAAGGATTAGAGACTGGCTTAATACAGAAGTAGATCCTGATTTCCACTTAGGAAATAGAAAGAGATTAACTTAACAGTAGAGACAGGATACAGTGATGAACCAGTGACAAGAGGGTTTCACTAATTAGGGATGTTTATCAATGACAGTGCTCTAATGCTTCTGATGTTTACGTAATTTCCTGCACTAAGACAAGGGCATCCCTTAGGTATGAGATAGGTAAATACCCCAGGGAAATAACACTAAAGATTGAATTATTGCGGAGGCATATGCCAGGTATTAGAAGACGCATGTTGTAACCCTTGTCCTGCCTCTCATTTGCAAGGCACTCCCTGCCCAGCAGCAGCGCTTGGGTTTCAGTGGTTGTACTGTGCAGTTTTATTCAGACATCTGGAGCAGATCTCTGTATTGTTAAGTCTTGGGCTTTAAATCACTAAAATGATACAGGCATAACACAGCGCTTGTGAGGAATGTTGGAAAAAGCACTTAGATTATTAAAAGAAATCATAACTGATGTGGAAAGTATTGCTAAAATAATGATTTGCTTCTAAGTATTTAAAAGAGAACTTCTGAAACAGTTACAGAGCTGGAGTTTGAAAGAATTGGAAACATCATTATTATTTGACATCCACAGTCAGAAACCAAGCACCAGAATGACAAGCTCTATACAAACATCCATCAAAAATACAGCCCTTGTCCCAGACAACTGTCAGCCTCATTATTAAACTAGAGGCATGGAAACCAGAAGGAAATAAAGAGAGAGCACTTGTTAATAGGAAAGGTAATGGCCAGAGCAAATCAGCATCACAACAAACATCAAATATTTGAATAATAAACAAAGAAATCTTTTATGTAGCTTTTAACAGGAAATGCAATAGCTCTGTGGTCTGTAGGGATCTTCTAAGCACAAGGGACAGCACAGGAAGAAGTATGGAAGAGTGGAGCCTGTAGATAAATTCTCCTTCATTGCTATGGAAAAGAGATTTTCTTTGGAACACAGTTGAGTACATTTCCTAACAGAATTCAAAATAGCTTTGGGCTTTTAGCATGCCTTTACATTGCCTGCACAATTTATCATCCAGTTTCAGGCCATGTTCGTGATCTACGGCATAACACAACATTTGGCCTTACACAGTCTGTTAGTCTCAAAATCAGAAACTACAGGCAATAATTTGACTATATTCATGTTTTCTTGTTGTTTTCCATTAAAAGCCAAATATTTAGAACACCTTAATCTAAATTTCTAGAAGATAGCAATAATTTCTTGATGCCTTGGTGCCTTAAAATTTTCTTTAATTCCTCTTTAATCTCGTACCATAGAAAAAGAGTGTCTGAAAACTAGATTCTTACCAAGCCTACTGAGCTGGGCCTGAAAACCTGTGCCTGGAAACATAAAATCCTTTATATTAAACGACCAAAGACTTGCCTATGTAAGAACATAATGGAATATGAAAACAACCACAATGGAAAAAGTGGAATAGATTTACAGTTTTAAAATAGCATGCATGATGCAAAAGTTCATGGGTCTATTTAAATTTCAGCAAAAAAAGATGCTGGGTTTTTCATTAATGCAGAATGCATTCATTGTGGGTTTTAAGTGCCTCAATTTAGAAATTGAAGGCAAATTTTATTAATAGCACATGTAATCCCAACACAGGAGATTCCTGTGGCAGATTCATTTGCTCCTTAAACAGGCACCCTTGACATCAGTAGGAATGAAGAGCTGAGTAAGAGCTGCTTGGCAAAGGGGGGCTTGTGGTGACAGCGGGGTCCCTGCTGGCAGTGCCACCTCGCTGCTGTCCCACCGGAGGGTTGGGCACACTGGTCACGTCCTGAGGACAAGGCATGAACATGCATCCTCTCCCCTCTGGAAGGAGATCCAACAGAGGCACACAAGAGCCAGGATGCATCCTAGGTCTAAACATCTGAGGGATAATGACCACAGGATGCTGTGCTGCCCAAGAGTAAAGACAGAGCCATCGGGAGGGGGGCGAACACAACACTGAGGAACACGAGGAAGGAAAGGTCACCGTGTTCGCTGTCACTGGCTGTAGCTCACAGGCTTTTTCTATCTCACCCTTTTTTATTCTAAGAACTCCTCTGGCATAAAGGGAGTGCTGGCAGAGTAGGATTGACACCATCACTGTGGTCTCTCTGGTTACTATGTATGGATTCAATTTATCTCAGACTTTTCATGGAAACAGTTTGTGTGAGCCAGGGAAGAAGAGAAAACATACTCCTCCAACCTCCCTGAGAAGGCAAAGAGCCACCAGGAAAACCCTCTGTCCAGTAAAGGCGTAACCGAAGTAAATGCCCCAGAACCCACCAGGGAGATGCTGAGTATCCTAAACTCACAGATTCCAAATCCCCCCTCCTTGGAGAAAGCTGCCTTCCACCATGTGGTGAAGGCCTAGGAACTGCAATGGGTAGCCAGGGATGCTCAGACCTGCACACAGCAGCCCAGCCCTGAAGAAAGGGATGCAATTTTATTAGAGAGTAACTATAAGTCCAAAAGGCAGCTGAGAACTCTTGGGTAAAATCTTTAGAAAGGCAAAGAAGCAAGGGGGAGTTCTTAAGAAGAGCATCATGCAATAGCAGAGCAATGGTGAAAGAGAGCCCAGAGCTGCAATGACACGTCTGTCCCTCTGACTGTCCTCTGAAGGAATTTGAGGAATGACCACAACTCCTCTGAATACCATACTAAATGCTACTTTTTTCCCTGCTAGTTATAATTCAGTGATTTCTGGCTCTAAGAGGAATTCCAAGCTGTCCCAAAGGTAAAAGGGCAAAAGCCCTCATTACCAGTAGAATCTCTGAAATGAGCTACAGAAAGAGGAAGATTAACAAATGATAATTTCCAGCTGCTGATGTTCCCAGTATGCAGAACAGAGCTGTCATGAGCTACAACAGCTCTTGAGAGAGGGGAGGGAGATGCCAGGATTGCAAGAACCCCTTTACCTTAACCATTTTATCTAAAGTTTCCAGTGGAACCATTTTGACACATCTGCACTTGAAAAAGACCATAAACCCCTTGTATGAAATACATTTCTGCTTTTCAAACTTTCTTTTCTTTGTGTATTCCCCTCATAGCTCAATATTTACCAGTGAGATACTCCTGAGGCAGTTCTGGTGTTTCATAAACCAGTAAGCAGTGGAAGCACAGGGGATGTAACAGCACCCACAGCCAGTGAAGATGCTGCTTTACCACTTCCCTTCCAAGGTGACTCCCTCACCATACGTTTTAACTTGGAAGAAGTGCAACACCATGAACATATATCTGATGCTGTTGTAACAGTGACGGGTGAGAGCTCACAGGAACTGCAACTCCCTGGTAGGCATCTGAATTCATGTGGAAATCCATCAACACTCGCTCCCAGGGCATCTGCTGCTCCTTAGCAGCACAGTTACCTTCTCTGGTCATTGCATGCATTTGCTTAGGTGGGTTCCTGAAGAAGTGTTTTTTAAATGTGTTTGGAGGATTTGAGGGCATGGGAAGTCCTTGTGACGGAGGGTGGAGGCGTGGGGCAGTCACCCCTCAGCCAAGTCTGCAGCAACAGCTCAGAGACTGTAAAGCAGAGATGGCACAGGATGCCCCAGGGCCTTGCTTGGTAAATGGGGGAAATGGCAAACAGCTAATGTACAAAGCACCTGCTCCAAACTAAGCATTCCATAGCAGGGAGGGCACTGCCTCCTAAGACAGTCTGAGAACTGGGCAGGGTCAGCCTGTGCATGCAACACAGCTCCTACAAACATGATAAAAGCTTGATACATGCCAGATAAGGCCTGTGAGTGAATAGAAGACCCATAGTGTCATGAGCATGACACTATACCAAAAGTATGTACTGTTTTCCAAGACCTTTCCAAAAATGACGAATGACCTCAGTGCATATGTTTCTTTATGTATTATTCCCTTTTCATATGCCTACTTCTCCTCTTAAAGGCATTTTCTGTCACTTAGGTAAACGATGCAGTAGATTTCAGATCTGTCAAAGGCCCAGGTGGTTGTCGTGTTAGTAGGGATAAGAGATAATACATGTAGTCTTGCATCTTTTTATCACATAGGCAGTCCTCAGGGACCTCGCTGGTGAGACGGGTGTGCATAAGAATTACCACACAATAAAACTATCTGAAAAAAAAAACAACAAAAAAGAGGATGAGAGAAGGTCAGAGTAATTTATGTGAAATATCAATAAACTGTCAAAACAGAAACACTTCTCTGTTCTGCGTTTTCCTTCTTATCAACAAACAATTCTACAGGCAGTTCAATGATACATCTCCTGCCGGCTTCTCAAGGGGTGCTTGTGCACGTGGGCTTTGCGTATATTTACACGTGTAGTGGCGAGTGCATAAAACGTGATTTGCACACAGAGCTACACTGCTGTACATGCTCGATGTACAGCTCAAATGCTTTTTACTGTTGTTCTTGGAAGACACCTTTTTCCTTCAGTGCTGAAAGCCGATGAACAGAAGAATCTGTTGTCATTATAAAACGAGAAGTGTAAGTGAGCTCACAGATCTAAAGCTACACAGGCTGGGACACATACAAAAATATTTGTGTATGCATGTAGACAGGGTGAAGTTTTCCACTGTAGCTCTTTCTGTGTCAGAAAATAAAGAATCTCAACCAACTATACAGTCATTTAAATAACCGTGCACTTTATAGCTTTTCCACTTTGTGTGGTCCTGCTTTCTTTATTTCATATGTGCCATTTACCATCTTCTGTTGCCAATGGTTTGGATCCCAGTTCTAGGAATTATCTCTTAGTTCACTGCTGCAGCAGATACCAAGCAACGATGTTGGCTGCAGCAACACGTACGCTCAAGTCGTGATTCATTATTTTTGGTTCCTAAGAGTATACATGATCCTAATCAAATTCATCTGTAAGCGAGTCAAGTGTGCTTGATTAATGCTAATGAGGAAAATCTGGGGGCAGATAGGCATGTAATTTCTGCTTCATTTAAAAGACATATTGAAAACTGAAGACCTATATTGGTACAAAGCCTATTTCTAAAACATTAACTGTACTCTGTCTTTCTGCATGTCAGTTGTAAGTACCGACAGGCTAAGAGCAGAGTTTCTCCATTGCTGCTTCAATGTGTTTATTCTTCCGGAGGCATATATGTGCCTAGCTTTGCAGCCACATCATAGTTTATCCTTGGGGCCATGAAATATTTATAGGGATCCTTCCATGCATTTGAATTGCTCAAGCAGAACAGTCCCACAGGTCTCACATTCTGAAAAGCATTTCGATATCTTGTCCCCACTGATTTTGGCAGCAGGGACCTAACCGACTTGCAAAATCACAGCCAGGATCACTCACCCAAGAGGAACAAAGTAAAAACCAGTTTGTACCTGGCTGCATTAAAAGCCACTGTTGAGAGTGACTAATAGAAGTCATCAGCAGTACGGGTTCTGCAAGCCCAGGAGCTGTGCCACAGATGCTGGCATGCCGCTTGGTTATCACTTCATCTAATTACAGAGGTGAGCCTGAGACAAAAAGCCCACTAGATGTAGGTAACCACAGGTATGGAGTATAGGCTTGTACAGTCACAACTCTTTCATGCAAACCTTTTGCCAAAGAGTGGTTCCAGCACCGGTGGGGCAATGCGTTATTCCTGCAGCTGCATAGCCTTCCTTTTCTGGAAGTGCACGGGTAACTCCACAGCCTGATTTACCACATCTCCGCTGCCTGCATGGCAAGTCCTTTGGCTGCTGTCTCACAGTATTTCAGTAATCCTGTTCATCATAAATTGCAGATAGTTGTCGCTGCAGGCTGCAAAACAGCTTACATGAGCAACGCTCTGATACTCCAGTGCTGCAGAGCAGTGATAGCAGCAACTGGGGCAATGATGCTGCAGTGTCTGAGATCAAACTCCCAGAAGGAAACATCCTATCACCCAAAGGAGACAAAACTGCCCAGCCTTCTGCCTCTCAGCTTTGGGCAGAGGGTCTTCTACATTGAGGCTAGCAAGGAAGTGTGCTGCGTATAGGAGAGGGAAGTGACTATAATCACATCTAGCACTTATAACCTACACATAATGCGAGTACAGAAAAGGCAATGACTGAATCAATCTTCTTTTCTAGCACACAAGGGAGTGAAAAATGTGTTTATGAGTTCTTGAAGTGCAGTGCAAGGGGGAATTTGGGTGACTAGCAAAACAAGCTACCAAACCCCTCCTAGCCCAGTGATACACCTGAGAGGACATAGGAAAAGAGGATTTTTTTCTGAGAACAATATTCTCAGGTACTGAAAATTCTGCCCTGTGCATGCCCTTGGGTGCCACTGCTGTGGCCAAGATTATCATAAATCTTCTGCTGAGATTCACAAACTACTTACTGTTGTGACAGCCCAGCTGGTCCCTTAGCGATTCCCAGCACACCTCTAGAGTATCCAGCAAAATCTGTTTTCCAAAAGAATCAAAAAACCAGCTCAAACAGTAGTGATTTCCATCCTGAAATAGCTAGAGGATGGAATCCAACAAGTTTTTCATAGCAGCCTTGTAGATAGAGCACTCATGCAGGAACTAGGGATGCAGTATTTGCTCCTCTCTTCCCCTGGAAGGGGCTCAGGGCCATACTGAGCTGCTGCTGCAATATACCCCAGGGAACTAATGCAGAGCCCAGTGGTGAAGCTCAAGCCCACCCCTCCAAACTGATTTTTTTAACCAGTAGATTACATCCTTGCTTTTGTATATCAGACTGTTTCCATCAATATTATCAGCCCAGTGTGTCAGTTGCTTCCTGCCACCCGCAATTCTTCAATAAACCAGGGGCTCAGGGATGCTCCTGAGAAGATGTAGAGTGGAATTCCTTCAGGGTAAAGAGTTCCTCTATGGATGAAAGGTGTAAGGATCTCACTATTACAAAAGGTTGCCTTATCTTCTGTGCAGGCCCCTCTTTTCATGGCTGAAAGAGAGACAAAACAGAAATACCTCTTGGGTGAACATATAGGGGTTTGGTGTGAATTTGCAGCTTGTTCTGTAAGCTTAGTCCACCATGTTCCCCCTACATTGCACCAGTAGAGCTCACATAACTGTGGATCCCACCTTCTCCCTTCCTGACATCCAAAGCAGATCCTGGACATTCTGCTGTGATTGCACTCACTGAACTGCCCAGGCACCAGAAGATGCTGGTGGGGAGATCTAAGTCCCAGCCTCACACAGCACTTAACATGGATCAGTCTTGAGGACTGGTAGAACTATGGGATGCAGAATTAGGGCCTCCGTCCCTAGCTCAGAGTGTATTGAATACGTGACCCCTGGGGGCAGTTGTCTTGTTTGTGATGCAATGGCACCAGCTAAGGACTTTGGGGAATTTGAACATTGTGCAGCCTTCTGCCTATACTCTTCTCAAAGAGCCAAGGGAACACCTGACTTCAGCTGATGGGAAAATAAATATTTCTGTTTGCATAGGACCTCCCAAGGAACAGATGCTTGGAGCCAGCTAGCAACAAGCTTGCTTGTCCAATGAGTTTAGTGTCTAAGAACATTTAAAAGCTGTGTGGATTCAGTCCTCTGTGTGTGAGTGTAGCCAAGACTGCCTTGTGTCTACCACAGTCTGGGGCTTCAGGCATACGTCGTGGTCTAGTTGAAGAGACTGCTCCAAGCGCCATTAGGTTTACAATACTCTTCATGGATTTGCTGTTTTGCCTGATGACTTACTTTTATCCCATCTACTTCCCCAACTATTGACTTAAGCCATACTGATGGAAATACATCAGAAAATGATCTTACAGGCAGCTCATCTGACTGCAGTAAAGGAATTAGAACCTGTGGTAGCATTCTTTGCTCTTGCAAGGGGCAAGCCAAATCTCTCCCTTGAGCGTTAAGAAAGTTCAGCATGTTGCTTCAAAACCAGACCAAAAATCTCTCAGCCTCTTTCCCCATTTAGTGGAAGAGGAAAATCTTTTGTACTAGCAGAGTCCTGGCTGTTTCTGTGTCGCTGCTGCATGTAACAACATGGACAGAGGAACTGCTTAGAGCACACAGAGCCTCTTGTGGGCCTCACAGTTTAGACTGATTTTTTTCCGTGCAGTATTTTGTAATGACTAACATTTGCCACAACTGTCTTAGTGTGTGTTTCTATATGTAAAGGTCTCAGCCCAACAAGAGTCCATCACAACTTTCAGCTTTGGAAACCTCTCTTTTACATCAGCAATGATAGCAAACAGAAGGCACAACCATCCTGATTAATTAATCCACACACAGCACCTCCTAGCAACCAAAGGCTGTTTTGCTAACACTTCTAGCCGGGACTTGTAAGCATATAACTCAACCACATGGGAATGCGCTATCTCATTCGCATGAGCTCAGAAGTCTTTAAAGGAAACATTACCTACCTCAAGGCTTTCTCTGAGATGCCATCAGTGGCTGAATGGACAGCATGACCAGCACACAGGCTAGTCACAGCAGGCAGGAAGAGAAGGCCCGATGCCAAACTATGTAGTTACAATTAGCAACTCTTCAGCTCTCCCAAAAGGCTGATGAAGCCAGCCAGTCAGACCTTGGCTCCAAATGTGTCTGCTACAGCAAATCACAAGGAGTTGGAGAGCACAGAATTGATGCTTTTCTGGAAGGCATCTAAAACACTGAACTTGTGTCACTGAGCTTGTGCCATGTCAAGTGCTGGTAAACAACCCAAGATATGCCCATGTGGGATGGAGGGACATTCGTAACTCCTGCAAGTTTTTGACACTCTGACATACACTGTGCAAGAGCAATCTCCATATTATAACACCAGAGCCTCCAACACTGAAGCTTCCCAGATCCACTGGTGGGTGCAATGTGGCATCCCACCCTTAAAACCACTTTCAGCAATATTCCATTAAATCCCTCCGCGTGCACTGGCATTGACAGGTTTTTAAAGTGTTACTTCAGTATGTCTGTCACCTTGTGTTCTTAAGACACATCTTTTGCTACAAAATCTGAGCTAAACAAAGCTAGCAGAGCCATCTCCACCATCCTGAAGCATGAGAAAAGGAGCTGGCTTCAGCTTGAAATAATTCACTTGAGACAAACCAGGGGACTCTGCAATCAATGCAGCTGGTTTACCTCCGGTAACTGCTTTACGTTGACATGCGTAAGCACCTGCTGTGCTCCACTAGCCTCGGGAGGTCAGCAAACGTGCCTCTGCTGAAATTAATTAACATGAGGAGCAGAAATTTATACCATAACTAATTAATCTTCAACATGCTGCATTACTGGGAAACCCGAGGAGTGTTTATAACCAGTGGATTGCCAGGAAACAAGGATATACACAAAGATCATTTGGGATTAAGGCCCCTGCCTGACATCACATACTGGAGCGTGAGGGTGGACTTGATGGGCTGGGACAACCTCAACAGCTGCAGATTAATTCTGTTAGCCTATTTTAATTAGATCACAGGGAGGTGTATCAGGAGTCCATGCCAAATTTACCAGTGATCATCAATGTATGTTTCTGTTCTAATGCTTTCAAATAAATTTTTTATCTCTGGAAATTTGGGGGGTTTAGTTTTGCATTTCAACATAAAAGTGCATTTTGTTGTGACTGAAACCCCCTGGTATTAAGAGGGATGTCAAAGTGATCTCAGAAATGCTGGTACTCCTCCCTCCAGGCAGCACTGCATTACCCACTCAAGACATTGGGGATGACTCCACATCAGACTTTCCCCCTCTAAGTAGCACATCACATCAGTAACCACACCACCACTTTCTCTGCAGGCCTCCCTCCTCTCACACACATTCCTATGCCACAGATTTGTGGCTCCCCTCCTAAAAAGGACAAAGAGACCCTTTACTCATGACCTGATGAACCATTACTGACAAACCCAAGCCTGAACCCTCACAGCAGTGTCAGGTGGAAATGTTGAGGTGTTGGTGGGAAGACACTGGGGCTCTCACGGGCACTCAGTGGGGTGTCAGAAAGCAGCAGCAAATAAGCCACTGCACTGGGCTAGTCCCTGCTGGCAGCATCCCCATCCACTGCCATGACCACAGCGCACTGAGGCAGCCCCCAGTGCTGGGATGGAGGACAGCAGATAGCTGCCTTCTCTCCAAGGCAGTGCAAAGATCAGAGCTTCTTATCAGCACAACTCACCAGGACAACAGCTGTTCACCCCAAAGCACGTACTGACTGTCTAAATCAGACAGCGTAAAAACAAAGGGTTGTGTGTTTCCTGGCTTTGCAGTGATGCGGTGAGCTAGAAGAGGGGAGAAATGACTTTGAATATTGTCTAGTTGAAAGCAAGCCATTACCCTTCCACTCCACCATGCCTGGGGGTTAGGGTGATGCCCCATCGCCTGACCCAACTGCAGTCCCTTGCTGACTATGGCCAGATGAGGAGCTGGGGAGTGTCAGAGGAGCTCGGCACTGAAAGTGCATCATTCCCAGCAGCCCGTTTCCAGTCTAAGAGGAACACCTGCTCACTATAATTATCTTCCTTCCCAGCTCCTGTTCTTTTTGCTTCCTGACCTATTTTCCTGTATGTACCCAGTGACCAAGCTGCAGTAATACAGAGTGCATCTTCTAAGAGGTGCAGATCACCATTTGGACAGAAAGGGTTCCCATTGCGGATGTCTTGCAGGGCTTGGTGGAAGCCTGTAGTGGCTCCAGACACAGCTCCTGCAGGGCATTTCAGGTGGAGCTGACATGTCCCAGTACAGAATATGGCAGCACCCCATGTCTGGGAAAGGCAGGAGCTGCCTCTGCAGGGCATTCCAGATGGATTCCAGCCATCTGAGCAGCCAAGCCTCCTGCTGGGTTCAAAATGCAGCCAGGACTGTGGCCCAGCAGCCACCACCTTTCACAGGGGTGAGAAGTGCCAAAGCCAGGGAGCGTCCGCAGCCAAGCCGGGTGTCATAGGCCTGCAGGTCTCAGTAGACACTTGCACTGTGGGTTGGAGCATCCTCTTTATCCTGTCCCTACTCCTCACATCTCCCACAGGAGAAAATCTGCCAAGAGGCATCCAGGGAGCAACTGGGTCCCACTTGCACACTGCTTGAATCTCCAGGCCAGCTTCACTGCTCAGGTTCAGAAGGACTTTGTGTCATTCCAGCTGGCAGCACAACCACCCTCAGCCAGCCCAAAACAGGACCTGTTGCTGACAACTGCTGGTAGCAGCCAGGGTCTGGACATTGGGCAATTGATTTTAACTTGTCATTAAACCTGTCTGTGCATCAGCCCCATGGGCAGAGCCTGTTTAAAAGCTGCACTCGTTGAAACACAAGCTCTCATCAGTTCCATCTCCAGGCTGCTCAGTAGGTTCTCATGGGTCTGGGCAAGGCAGAGCAGCAAGAGCTTTGGCTGATGATGAACAGCCTCTACAGGGATTTCTGGTTGCCAGAAGTTATCTGCCCAGCATGCTGCGGAATGAAATGGAAGCAGCACCCACTCTACTGGACAATTATGAGTCATGCAAACATGTTTCCCC